AAAAACTAAAAAAATACAAGATGGATTTCCGACTGGCGACTGACAATGTCAGCCACCGGTGGCTGACATTGCGCAATCGCCTCTGCCGGCGCTGGTCCGAACGGGCAGTCTTCGAAAATCCCGCCCGGTCGCGAGTGGGTTAAATCATTCCTATAGCAGGGCATCCACATAGAAGAGTTCCCACGTTGATCCGTTTTTCGAATAAAGTTTCAACTTTCAGAAGGTGATCAGAACTTTAAACTCAAGTTTTTGCCGTACTCTAGATTGCACAGAAAAAACAAAGAAGGTAATAAAAGAAAAACATCTGGGTTACCTAAAAAGTATCGAAACTGCCTCGAAAAAACGGCTGGGTTTGGAAGCAGGCTATCAGTCTTTGTGGGGTTACGGTACGGCTTTTGAAAGCACACGTTTTTTTTGAATCGTCATGGCCTTCTCCAAACTGATCTTTTTGCATTTATGTAGCTCGCTTGGAAAACCAAGAAGTTAGAGCGTTTTTATGATCACTACAGCACCCGCCGTAAGAAATCAAAAATTCACGCGAATCCTGCGAATCCGCAATCACATCATATATTTCATTAATTCGCTACAACTTGGTTTGAAATTTAGTTTTCCAAAGTCAGAAGATATCGCTGAACTCAACTCTTTGGGGACTGAACTGCCCTCCTTCGCCTTCACATGACAATCTCAGTTCAGATTTCAAGGGGATTTAGGCCTATTTTGTGACATTTTCCGATCTTCAAAGCGAGAGATTACAATGAAGTATGTGTGCAGCACGGAAGAACATGCAGCACTTCAAGCAGTAGCTAGAGCCCAAAGGAATCGAGATGTGGCCTTTTTGTGACTAAAGGTGCGCTCGTTGCAGCGCCCTGGGGCTGCCAATCCTTTCTGAGCTCCGCCTCCGCCTGTGCTCCGCCCCTCAGCAGATCGCTGTTCGATTATCATTTGATAAGGTATGCCACTTCGAACGCGCTCCTATGACATCCTCATGCCAATACTTATTATTAAAGGACGAATTCACGATCAGAGGGAAAATCGAATTAGGAAGAATTCACCTGGTTGAGGGACCCGCGGAGCTCCTAAGTGTGCGAACTGAAGCACAATTTGCACAGGAGTTGACCTCGTTGACCTATTAAGGTTTAATCCCGCCGCGGCAGTGCACGCCCACCGATCATCTGATCACTCGCCGCAGGTCTATACGTGGGAGTGATTAGATAGGTGAGAGAGCGTAGTGTTGAAGAGGGCACAGCGATGAGAGTCGCATCAATGCTCAAATCAACGGGCAAGGAAGGGGTACCATTTCTCGGGTTCTGGAACGTTTCGTATGGTTTTTCCTTCTTTAGTGTACCACTCACTATCGCTAACTTAATTTGAAATGGGTTGCCTTTCCAGGGTGAATTCGTCCTTTAAGGGAAGCAGTGTTTAAGGTATGCTTTTGACGTGAGCGGAGAACCGCCCACAATGGGCGAAGCGTGCCTTCAAGTGCACAGCTTTTTTTTTACAAGACCTCATTATTTGGTTCTGGTATGTCTTGGAGAGCTGGAAATAGGTGGGTAGAGGAAAAAGGTTTCAAGTATAGCCAGCGCACTTCTCGTCGTGAAGGCACCACATCTAGCTTCGTGGTAGCCGAGCTACTGCTTTATGCGACCCATGTACTTCTCAATGCGTTCCTCTTATCGCTGCGGATTCTTCAAAAGGTGGAGTTTACGAAGAAAAGTAGTTTATTTAAATTTAAAATATCACAGAATTAGAACCCCTTCTGTGCCCACGATTTTAGCATTAGTGTAACTATCATAGGTGCTGCCCTCTTTGATGCTAACGCTCTCTATGCTAAACGATTGTGACAGACTGCGAGAGGTTACCCATCAGCGGCACAGCGGGCCAGGTATGACCCTACTAGGTGCATAGTATACTGCTGATTGGGTAACCCGTCTGTCTTTTGACTGTGTATAGTTCCTCTTTTCGACCTCTGACATTATCGCGGAATCCCCCTGGTGATCGAGTCTCGAAGACTACGGAAACAAGAAGGAAAAAACGGAAAAAAACGCACAGCAAGCACGACAGCTATCAAAGGAGTGTGAAATAATGGGAAAACTTGAGTAACGAAGAAGAAGAGGAAAATAGAGAATCATTTGTAGTTGAGCTCTTATACGCTATATGTGTATGTCAATTATTTAAGTGATGGTCATCCAGAGCAAGTTGAAGGAAATCACATCGAAAAAAATGCGGTTAGTTTCTCGTACAGTACTTTTCCGTAAACAAATTTGTGAGTGTTGCACCAGTAGAAATTGTTTGCCGGTGGTAGCTCAACAGTCGAGCATCGTCGATTCTATTACGGCGTTACAAAATTCCTACCAGTGAAAAATCCCTTGAATACCTAAATACATTAACTGACGCATGTACATATTATAATTTAGCACTGCACGAACCGTGCGCTCAATATTGTAGGCTTCAGCGAAACTGGACAAAATACAGAATATTAAGACACATGGCCGAGAAACCGTTAGTAATATGCTTTGAAAAATAGTAGAAGTCGTAATGTTGTCCAATTCTACTGAAGATATCGCGTAGTCGCGCAGGGCATGACTACGTGACAATCCCATATGATTGACTTATCATGACTTCGCAAAAAATTAGCACTGACATCGAACTCGGATGATCCAGCGGTTCAATAATTTTTCCGTCCTTAACTTGTGTGAAAATGGAATGTGACCAATCACTAAGCGTCTTATGTCCAACTCTAATGGCAGTTCACCATTGGTCCAAGTCCAGACAGTTTAGCGACTCGTATACTTGGATTAGCTCGGTGAAGGAAATAGAAATGGAATTTTATCACTCGATGAGCACCTGGTTCTGCTCGACTGAGTGAACACTCAGTTGTCGTTACATTTATCAGTACAGTTTTCGTTTCTTACGCCACCATCACCCGCTAGTCACTGGTGAATGCAAGAAGTAGGATGCATTTGCATTGTATTATCGCCACCACGAAGGCTATAGCGGTGTTGTTGCTTCTCAAATTCTAAACTGTCGGCAACCGTTATCGTTTGTTATTACTTTTGATCATACACTATCCATGTTTCCCCAAGATTCCCCATACATAAAAACCAAGGCTCTACTGTCCCCGCGAAGGCTGCAACAGAGTTGCTGGTATTCACTCTCTCACGCCACTTAACAGTTATTATCAGTCGCACTACATAAGCCTCATGAATGGGAAGTCGCAATGGTCAACGCGAACGGCGTAGCAAAACTGGTGACACCAGCATTTCGACGTTCCTCATAAGCTCCTGTCAGGAGCTACCACTTCCCTTCCACCCATCATCAGTGTTCACCGTCAAGCCCCATATCGTAAGTCTGTCAGGAGTGACCATTATACGAAGTTATACGAGAATGTTCTCGTCAAGCCCCTATATACCCTACAAAAAGAGAGACCCGCACGCACAACCGCTTAGTGGATTATGTGTAGTAGGATCACATACACATGAAAATAAATCAATATAAGTGTGCTCCGTCAACAATTCTCATCACAGTCCATGGATTCAATTTCTGACACTAAATGTTGGTTATCAAACACAAAGAGGCACCAAAATTTATTTCAAAAGAGTCCCAAAAGTTCGCAAAATATTCAAAAAACTCCAAAATTCCAAAAAACACGAAAAGTTTCAAAAGAACTCCTTTGAAATCTTCTGCTATATTTCGGTGTTTAACACCTTCTTCAGGCCTGAAATACATTGATTTAACGGTAATTAATGGATTAATGGTATAAACAATATGATGAGTTTCCCGAATATATACAGTAGTGGCCAGAAATTTATGAACAAACGGTTTTTTCATGATTTCTCTTTTGAAAGTCACTGAACGTCTCCAAATTTGCAACAATTATTAACTACGTGTTTTATGATCCACACAGAAAATTTCAACCTTCAGCTCAAATTTGGGTTTAGAAAATTTTAGATTTTTTCGAAATTAATGAAGGCAGGTGAAAGATCACTTGATCCGTTTATTTGATTTAAAGGCACAACCCAGGCAGAGGTCGTGTGAACTCTTCTCTTCGGTCAGAAGTATAGAACCCTAGGGGACAATCACAAATGGCGTTCACGTGCACGGAATTCGACCGACAAGAACGCTTTGGGCTTGCAAAGTAAGCTGCTCGAGCTGCAGCGAACGAGCTCTCTTATCAGGCCGTTGTCTGGTGCTCTCTCATCTGATGCGCTCTCTCGCCCCATACTCTCCTCTTCGCGCTTAGTCTCTCGTTCCTTTAGCACAGCCAATTAGGAAGGTGAGTGAGCCCTCAACCTGAGCGTTTTCGACGGATTCTTTTCCTTTTTTCTTCACTGCCGGCCCACTTGGCACCGATACATTCACATTCGTGTGCAAGAGCCACACCAGTGCGATCCTGGGCATGCTTTAAATAATGTATAACCCAACAGAACAGTCAAGTAAACAGTCACTAACATTAAGCAAGTCTAGCACATTGCCCAGAACTCTCTAAAGTATTGGATACATAAACTGGATTTGAATGCGGGGTCAACTAATGAACTCACTCTCTAGTGGGGTCTCTCTCTGTAGTCCCGTCTTTTCGTGGCTCTTTCATTGACATACGAATTTGTAGGTCCTCCCTAGTGGTTCTGTAATGTTTGGCTCAAGAGTCTGGCCTGGCTGGTCTTTTAAAAGCAGCCCATGCTGTCGAAACCACTCCTGCATGTGAGGAGCCGATGCTTTGAGTCGCTGCTCTGCCGACAGGCGAAGTCAGGTCGGGCGGCAGCCACACCTTATGAAACACGACACCTTCCAAAATATGGCAGCAAACGTTTGCCTTCATCGCTACCTCAGTCGTGCAGCGTGGTCTCACTTTTTCAAGCGCTAGACCTTATCAAGCCTCCGCCAAGTTTACGATTGGCAGCCGATTCTTTGGATTGAAACGTTCCCTCTCGTGGCGCCGTGATTACTAGTATCCTTGCTGTCATGCATCAGTAATATGTTTTTGTCATTCCAGATGACCTTAGAAACCTGTATCAACCTTCGTTTCAGGCTTAGTCAATCACATTCTACTCCCACCCACTTCACAGCGAGCGCTCTTCTTAGACTTTGAGAACTAAGGAATACGTAGTATAGACTTAGATTCTAGAAGATGTTATGTATCCGTAGACATGGCTGCCACACGACCTGGCTTTGTCTGTCAGCAGAGCAGCGACTCAAAGCATCGCCTCTCACATGCCGTTTCGACAGCATGGAGTGCTTTTAGCGAGCCAGCCAGGCCAACTAAAGCCAAACATTACGAAACCACTAAGGGAGGAGCTACACAGTGAAAAGAGTCATGAAAATAAGGACTACAGAGAGAGACCCCACTAGAGAGTGAGTTCATTAATTGACCCCGCATTCAAATCCAGTTTATGTATCCAATACTTTAGAGAGTTCTGGGCAATGTGCTAGACTTGCTTAATGTTAGTGACTGTTTACTTGACTGTTCTGTTGGGTATACATTATTTTAAATCAAATAAACGGATCAAGTGATCTTTCACCTGCCTTCATTAATTTCGAAATATTTAAAAATTTTCTAAACCATATGTTGAGTGGAAGGTTGGAAATTCTCTGTGTGAGTTGATAAAACACGTAGTTAAGAACTGTTGCAAATTTGGAGACGTTGCAGTGACTTTCAAATAAGAAATCATGAAAAGACCGTTTGTTTGAATTTCTGGCCACTACTGTATGTACCTACATGTGTATGCCTCAGCCAGATTAGCTGGACTTAGGGGAGCGCCCCCCCCCCCCGCCACGCCGTTGGAGTTGGAATTAAGTGATTTACCGCTCACCTCTGCTTAAATGTACGCGAACGGACTTTGACGGTCATTGCATGTGATATTAAAACACTACATGGCATGCCCAATTTGGTTGCCTCTTTGTGTTTCATAACACATTTAGGTCCTGATGAGGCTCCGGGACAGCACAATACTGAGATGTTTCTCCGGAACAGAAATCTTTGTCCAACGGATTACTTCTACACTGGCAAGCCATCGATCATACAAATGTTTGCGAGCACGATTTCGAAATGTGCGAAAACCGTTAGTGGCAGGCGTTAGGAAGGGTAGCTTAGTAGGTCCGCACTACAGTTCGAAATGCAAAAATTATGAGCGGCAGAACCTATCTTATCTCCTCAAAAAGCCGCACTGTAGATGCAAGTTCTAGTGAACCAGCAGATGACTCGGGATATTTTGATGCAAAAAGTTCGCGGATTGTCTTGGCAAGTGGTTTTTCTAACTTTTTTTTTGACTATTTTTGACCTTAAACGTCTTTTAAGCGGATAAGGATTCACTCTGTAATGCACCGATACAGCTCTCCAGAACAGTTGTCGATCTATTATTGCGGCGGTGTCGTTTTATATCCATTCAAAAAGCCAGTTACGTTATTTATTTACCAGTTTAAGCTCCGCACACTACCGCGTGCATGACACGGAAGGGCTCCGTGAAGCTGGTCAGCCGACGGAGCGTTAGGTTCCGCCGCTAAGCAATAACTTGCTTCGTGAAATGCGTTAGCTGGCCTTCCTTAGAGTGTTCATTTTTGCTTTTTCTTTTTGCTCATCGTCTGATACGCGCGGTGGAGTGCGGAGCTAAAGTGGTGTCTGTAAGCAGTCACCATGCATTGGATGTCAGGACGATTTAGCGGTCGAATAAATTGATGCCAATGATCTTGCAATAGAAATACCCATTATCGTATATCGCTAAACATCCATCATACATTCTTAGGGACTTTGGGACTGTAGCGGTGGGAAGGTGTTTATATATTAATACCAGATTAGTCCCCCGTCAACCGCCGGGACCTTCCTTTCCTGCGCAAGCTTTCTATCCTCCGCTATGGTCCCTTCCTCCTGTGACACCAACACCTCGTGGAAGTGACGCGTATGCAACACAATGGTGTTTCAAACAGTAGAAGGGACACAATCATGATATGACGGTAGATTTTTCGCTTCCCTTCCTCATCCTCCCTTCCTCTCTCCACTGCCCTCCAGCTGCCACTGCAGCACCATGTGGAATGAACGGAAGTGTGCTAAGCAGGTGTTTATATAGCCCTGAGAGTGTTATCACAACTATCTACAAAACATGATATCTCAAATCCTGTAAGCTACCCGATTTGTTAGCGGTTTGTTTATCCCATGAGCTTCCTTCTCACTCACTTCATTTTGCGGACGGACACACATACATACACACACACACACACACACACACATACAGAT